GGTTCCCACAAAAAAAAATGAAGCAAATTTTTTTTACCATGGTTGTAATAAGAAATGTTTCAAATCAGGTTGTTAGAAAGATTTCTGAAGGATTATGTGACACTGAACACTGGAGTAATGATGCTGAAAATTCAGCTATAACAGGAATAAATTACAATTTATTATATATTCAAATCGAAAACAATTATATTTTAAATCTTAATATTTCACAATATGACTGTTTTTTGTTGTTGTTGTTTTTTTTATCAAATAAATGCATGCAGCTTTAATGGACATAAGAGATCTATAAATCTTACAGACACCAAACTTTCGAACGGCAATGTGTGTGCATATATATATATACTGTTAATATTTTTCTCATTTTTAATTGTTTATTTATATAATATAGACTACAAAAATATATATATACACTAACATTGTGAAGCGATATTGACTGTTCATGTTGCTCAAACACAATGTGTGTTTGAATTTCTTGTCTCTGTCTTGCTAAGCATTGTGAGTTTTTGGTTTGCCAGTGTGTATTTGGGCTGAGCACGGGAATGGAAAAATCTGTGGCATTTAGGTAGAGCCGTGTCATAAAGGCTGCGCTAATGAGGCCAGGCTTTTGGGAAGGGGGAAAATGGTTTACATATGGAACCGAGAGCATACAGCCATCACAGCTATGCAGTCTGTGTGTAATGAGACAGAACAAGCTCGTTCTAACGTTCATGCAAAATCTAACAAACAGGAAACCACTTAGAAGTGGAGAATGAAAGAATAAGGAGAAAAAATCCATTTCTCCTCCTCAACTTCTCCCCCTGTCGCAAAATCTAACGCCACATCGCTAAATCCACATACATCATTGTCCAAACCAGCCGAGTTTTACAGGTCTCCTGCTAAAATAAACAGTAGATTTGCAATAACCAGTTAAAGTGCTCTCAACCTCGAGCTGCTTTCCTCCAGGCACCGTAGTTCAACCTCTGACCCAGCCTACATGCAAACACACATGCTCTCACACACACAGGCTCTCGTGTAACTACACGCTCGCAGGCACATATCATGTCAGGAAATACCACTGACTGCTACCCTGCCAGAGGAGGGAGATGAAGGCAACAGCAAACCGCCCATAAAGCAGCGTAAAAAAGACAACAGTGGTGGGCAGAGCATCGAAAGGTCAGCGGGGAAGAGGAACATATGCGCTCATAAAAAGTCCATTAATGTACTCCTCGGCAGCATTAAAAGAAGAAAGTGGATGTAAATATTAAATAAGCTTAGAAAATCTATATTTTCAAAACTACTCGCTCTGTAAATAACTCCTCAGTTAACCAAAGAGGAGATATTATTGATTCAGAGACTAGATTAAACCCGTCACTATACCAGCAGAGCAAGATATCATTAGTCTGGTACACTTTAGAGACAACAAACTCCATTTCAATATGCAATTGGACGAAAGCAAAGCAATTTACATCCATTGTGTTTATTAAACCATAAAATAGTATCGGTCTTTTTATTGCAATAGTATTTTTTATTGCATTGCCTGAAGCTTTCGAAATCAATCAGATTAGGGGAACAATGCATTCGTGGCTCTTTTGTATAGTAATCAACTGCTATAATGTCTTATTGTGGCTGACCAATTTACATATCAATTATTTTTTTTATTTTGTTGAAAATAATGATTATTGATGCACTGCTGTATCTGAATACAGAAAAAAAGCTTATGAAAGATATAAAACGAGAGGGTAAAAGTGTAGTGATGGCTTAAGGGATTTTTTAACACTATATCTATAATGTTTTTTTTTTTGTTTTTGTTTTTTTTTTTGCACCGACATTACCATTTAGAAACGTGTTGTTTCCATAACTTAAAGTGGAATTTATCTTAAAGCAAAATGATTTTTGCCGTGCCGTTTACAGTCAAATCCAAATCCTGCGGTGACAGGCATGCCTTTACCAATAATCGAATAGTCAAACGCAGGACACACAATTACACAATCCGTGTTGTTTTAGGCAGGAAAAAAATTGTTATTACAGCCCTCGGGCAACTATGAGCCATGAAGAAGCTCTGCCGTTCACACCACAGAGACATTAGTCACCACACGAGGAGACGTCCCCAGCCACTGCCCCTCCAAAATAAGCATGTTTTAATGTTCATGAGGAATGCTTAATTATCCGTAAATGGCAATTTACAAGCGTCTTGCTGTAAGGCACAGCCACTTCAGTAAGGAGACAGGCCCTAATTTAATGGAAAAAAGCATTACTGGGTGTGCAGTGGAATTATCCACAGCATTACCCCCATTTCATAACCCACTTTAACATTGGCAATTTCATGCATATGGAAACTGTGGCTCCTAGCATGAGGCGATAGGGGGATGAGGTGGGGATGATTGCACTCAAAGTAATTTCACAATGATTAGGTTAGTTGGGTAATTTTGCATATATGTAGGCCTATGTGTGTGTGTGTGTGTTATTGCATCACAGTGTTTGGTGTTTTTCGATGGCTCAGCGATGTTAAATGTCATTGACGCCCATAAGTCACTTGTCTTGTCTTGCCTGAAGGTAAACGCACATCATGTGCTCATTTACCATAAAGCGTAAGCTGATGCACGCATTAACACGATTCCTATCCTTCCGAACTCCTCCTGGGATATTACAGTGTGAAAGGGCCTGTACTGGAGATGGATAGGCATGATCATTGACAATTAACATCTGAATAGTGGTGTTAAGTTTAAAATGTCCCTAGAGAGAGACATGCTGGCTCATGAATTAAATGCGGTTCAGCACTTGAGCTTTAGAAACACTGTGTGAAAGTAGGCCTAGATCACGGGTATCTATAGGGTACATTTTCCTCCCATTAAAGGAATAATCACTTTGAAATTATTTTTTGGTACGTTTTAGCTTACCTCAAGGGCATCCTAGATGTAGGTGTCTTTGTTTCCGCAGTAGTTTCAATTTTGATATTTTTAGGTCAAACCGTTCGCGTCTATCAGTCATATAATGGAGGTCTATGGTCACCACCTCAAAGAGCATGCACAGAGAAGTCCAAATTAAACATAATTTAATGACTCGTAAATGTAAGAACACATTGATGGCCTAAGACATGAAACAAGCAGTTTGTGTATTTCTACAGTATTTCTATCATTTTTACTTCGATAAATTCAAAATAGTACTCAGCATGTAATCAAAGGAAATAGAAGGCTGAGCTATCAGTAGGGCTCCAGTTATGATTAGGTTTAATTACTGAAAAAAATCATTCCGGAGTTAAAAGTCTCGGTTGTATGGATTGGTTGATTGTGAAAGCTTATTTCAGTAGGTTCATATCTGTTTAATGTATGAAGAATGCAGTTTAGTAGGTTTATGAGATGAGTCGGCTTAACCGCTCACAGTTATAAGCAAGTCATAATATTTTTGTGTAAAACATGCAGCTTACGCAGGCCTATGTGTAGTGTGATACAAAATTCATATTGATAATTTTGTCAATTTTGTTTGCATTTAAAAAATATTTTTGTGAAGTGAAGTCTCTGCTCGCTAAGGCTGCATTTATTTAATCAAAAATTCAGTAATATTTTGTAAGACATTATGACAAATTTATGATATATATTTTTTTTAAATCTATTTAAAATTGTATTTATTCCTGTGATGCCAAAGCTGATTTTTTTTTTCATTCAGAAATTATTCTAATAGTCTGATTTGGTGCTTTGTTATTATTATCAATGTTCAAAACAGTTAATATTAATATTTTTGTGAAAACTGTTAAAATTCTTTGATAAAAAAGAACACTTCCTTGCTGAATGAAAGTATTGATTTCTTGAAAAAAAAAATCACTCCAGACTTTTGATCAGTATGTAAATTAAATATTTACATTATAAAAAACAATATGTATTTAAATAACAATTCATTAAAAAATCAAGAATTTTCATGAAAAAAATATGCTTATTATGCTTAAAAATAAATGTAATTTTTAATACAGTATAAATACAGTATAACACAAGAAAATATTGCAATGTTTTAATTGGCCACTAGGTGGAGACATATCGCTATTTTTTATAGCTAGCTCATGGTCAACATCATATGCAACAGGATGACTTACATAAATGGAGTTTTAGTCCTTAGAGTTTCTAGCTCTTAATATCTTTATTTGTGATATATCTATATAAGTTTGCAAAGTATGTAACAAATTCAGTGCTTTTAATTTATCACATTAAGCAAATATCACATATCACTGTAAATGGAAGATACGAGTTATGCTATCACTAACAGTGTTGCAATGAAAGAAAGAAAAAAACTTTTTAAAAATAAAATTAACTGATTTACATCAGGCTACCATTGGGTTATATTGCTAGTTGATGCAAAGTCAGACAGCAGAAAGCTTAGTCTTTATCTGTGGAAATAAGTAAATATACAGTATGGTATTTGGGATTACAGATTAGGTGGGCAGAGTATATGGAGGAGTGTGTCTGAAGGGTTTTATTATCGGGTCAGAGGAGAATGATATGGGGGTGTGGGTGGGGGGCAGCTCAGACAAAACTGATGCTGCCCCAGATTTAGTTTGGTGCAACTGATGAATACAGTCTGTTATAAGTATTGGGTGGCGCCCTGTTTACCCATGCACAATTTTTATAATTAAAACCTGTATATCAGTATTTTTCACATTTTCACAGGTACACATTTCCTTGATATATTTTAAACTCAATTTTCTACTAATTGATATATAAATATATCTATTGATGTCAATCATACACACACACACACACACTGCTCTAATCGTTTGCAGTAAAGCACACAATCACTTTTAGGTTTCCATCAGTGTTATTAAGTTTTATTGTGGTTACACAAAAGCCCCATAATCCTTTGCCCCCTCCTATTCACACCATTGTGTAAAGTCCAGCTGATCCTCCCACTCCCCCTCAAATCCGAACTGCTTCCCATATATACCTAGTGTGGAGTCCTGCACAATACCATTGTGATCCATCGGATTGTCTGTGGTCATTACTCATTCGGCCATCCACTCTGCCTTTTGTCCACAGCTATCTTTTACTCTGGCCATGGACCTGAAACTGCCATTCTCCCATCCTGCTCAGCCTCAGCCCATCTGCCCCCAACTCGCACACACTGACACTCTGTCCACACTCTGTACCAGCTGTCCCAGTGAAGTCCCTGGGGTGGAAACAGGTGCTGGGCTTGTGCGGGCTGAAGCAGACGGCACATGGCAGCACACGCTGCCTCCTCCTCACCCTCCCCAAAATTACATGAACTTGATGTTGGAGTTCTTTTTAGATGCAATAAAATTACACCATTCAAAAGTTTGCGGATCTCTGTAATTATCAAGTGCTGGTATGCTCACACTTGGCACGTGTGGTTTGATTAAAACGGACCCTGGTGCATTTGCTCTGTTAGTGCGGTTCATTTGAATAAGTGCCATCCGAACTCATGCGCACAATACAACAAGCACATTTATCCCAGCATACAGCAATGTTTTGGACGCGAAACATTCGTAATAAAAGTTGACCAATCAGGTTGTGAACATATCCCTCTGCCTTTAGGTTCAGTGTTAAAATGCCAATGTGAACGCTAAGTGGACCAGGACTACACTCTCAGAAAAAAAGGTACAAAAGCTGTCAATGGGGCTGTACCTTTTCAAAAGGGTACAGCTTTTGTCCATTTTAGGTGCTAATATGTACCACTAAGGTATCAATATGCAGCCTTTGGGTACAAAAGTGTACCTTTTGAAAAGGTACAGCCTCAGTGACAGATTTTGTACCTTTTTTTCCTGAGAGTATAGGGTGTGTGTTCACACTTGTAGCTCGGTTCACTTGGTTTGGACAACCCACAAGGATGGCTGACAGGAAAACAAACACAAGATAACAAGGGCTAACAAGGAACAGGTGAAGGTGATACAAGGGTAACTAAACTAATAAGGCAGGTAATGAAACAAGGGAAACAGGAACTAAACACAGGAAGTCAGAACACAGTAATAAAAGTATACTTCAAAATAAGAGTCTACAACAAGACAGTAATCATGACACCAGGTTTGCCGACAGCATTTGTAGCATAATTCTGATTACCAAAAAAAATTAAAAATTACTCATTTCTTGTTTTCTTAAAAAAAAAAAAAAAAAAAAAAAAAGGCCAAAATTGAGTTTACGGTGCAATGTAGGTGAATGTGGATTATTTTTGGAGGATTAGAAGCAGAAATGTTTTTGCAGCACATAAATAATAATTCTTCTATTAAAACTTGTGTATTCTTTGAGCTGAGGTTCACTTATGGTCGTTTTGTGTTGAATGTGTTACGTTGTTGAAGCTGTAAAACTGGATACAACTTTGCACAGAAAAAGTTATTAAGGGATTTTTCACACTAATATCTTATTAACAATCATATACATCTTGTAGATTAGTGGATATACTTTTTAATTGACTTCAGAGTTTCTCTTTAGACCTGATTGAAGAGGTATGATATCGTGCCAGAGCCCAGCATGAAATTATTACATGGTGTCCATTGATGGCAAGATAAAAATAGATAAAAGGAAAAGGGGGACTATCAGTTTGGGCCTCTGGGGGTAGAGTTATTTATATCATAAGTGCAGGAGGAGGGGGACGGTATCCAGTATGAATAACAGCCCACAAACAGATCAAAATACCCACACCCCAGTCACCTTAACAATTTCCACAGGATGCATTCAAGGTGAAATGAAATCGCTTTTATTGGGGGGATCAAAGGGTTAGCCTGAGAGGTGTCCTCTATTTTAGGACCTTGCATTGTGGGTTGTAAAACAGGGAATGTGTCGACACTTCACACATGCTGGGGCAACTTCTTTACTATGCTAGATTGCACGTTGATCTCATCGGACATGGCTTTAAAAAATAGCCTGTTTTTGTTTCACTGGTGTTTTCAGGGAATTTGGTCTTGCTTAATATTTAAATTACTGAAATAATGTTGAAAGAATAATGGGATTCTCAGTTAAAGTTATTTGATTTATTTAGAACAGGTGTTATTTAAGTAGTGATTGTGATCAAATTGGTCATATTTTTGTTATCCGTTTTGGCCAATTGAGTCACATGTGATCTTTAAAGTGTCTTGATTAATGTATCACAGAGGACGGTGTCAGACAGAGATGGATTTCTATGGAATCAAAGCCCTTGTACTCCCTCCAGCTGGCCTGAATTGACAGCCTTCCTCTTGAATGAACGTGAACTGATTCGGGACATTCCCAGTATGTGCTTGCAGAGGGCAAGCTGCAACAGGCCTGAATATGTATGCAGGACTGCTCTTCCCTCCCACCCCCTGTCTGGAGTCCAGAACCATTGTACACAACTTAAACCAGAGCTTCAGGCCCAAATAATGATGTCTCAAAAAATGATGTATTTTTTGAGCATCCACTCATTCCATCAGTTTGATTTGTGTTATTACCTATATTTATGGAATCAAATTAAATTGCATTAAATATGAGGCATATTACTTAATAAAAGAAAATGTATGACCAAAAAAATGTTTAATATAAATGTGCACAGTATGTGCACACACAAACACACAGAAATATATAAAGTACACAAATAGTAATAAACACAGGCTATATATAAACACACACATATTATGTAAAAACAAACTTTTATGTTCTAGATTAATCGTGATTAATTGATTTTACACCACTAAATATAATGCAATACCATATAATATAGTGCTCATTCATTTCCAAAATACTAGGGTTACGGATAATTTATTATAAAAAATATTAATTTTAAAGCTGACACTAAATGTAGCTCAGTTTGCCTTAGATAAATAAATGTGTTAAGCACATAGGATATGGGTTTTTGACATGAATGTCTTTATTTCCATATCTCTACAAGATAAATAGCCTATATAATTTTCAAATACTCTTAATATGTTAATACCATATAGGGCTAATACTGACTAATATACTATAATTGATTGTAATACAGCCTAATATAATATAGAAATATTTTTACACATTATCTATTATATCTTATTTTTCCTAATAAATGAATGTTAAACATAGGATGTGTGTTTTTTTTTTTTTTTTTTTTTAACATCTCTAAAGCTCTAAAGTAAAGAAGAGGAGGAGGGGCGGGTCCAGACAGCGCTGCGTCTCGCCGGATTTCATGTGTGTGTGCTGTTCACTTTCCACAGACATGAGGGGCTGAACATCTCTCATTATCCGGCAAAGTGACTCTAATGGGCATAAACAAACCTTTCTTTTTGATCAGGCCATTTAACAGGTCCATCGACGCCACGTCTTTAAAAGCATAGCGACTTGTAGTCCCCTGAAAAGGAATATATTTAGAGCTGTTGTTGATTTAAGTTACTAAAGATGTCTATACTGCCTTTCACGCCACCGATTGTAAAGAGACTTCTGGGCTGGAAGAAGGGCGAGCAGAATGGACAGGAGGAGAAATGGTGCGAGAAGGCAGTGAAGAGTCTGGTGAAGAAGTTGAAGAAGACAGGACAGCTGGAGGAGTTGGAGAAGGCCATCACCACCCAGAATATCAACACCAAATGCATCACTATACCAAGGTACACACTGAAGGCTGTGTTTAAAATATAGTGAGCTGCCTACCTAGATGGTACAGGCAGTCTGAACGTTCCGAAAGTAACGTTAAATTCCCAAAAAGGGTCTCTAGGAGACAGCTCGCTTGTCCCCAGATACTGTAACGTTACAACCAAGAACTGTGCGGCTAACGTTAACGCTGCTAACCAGCGAAAGCCAGCGGGTATTCTCATTTTGACAGGCTTTTCTAACACTGCTTAAATTGTTAATTGGTTGAGTACTTCTGTCACCCGTTTATGACGTTTCATTTGTCAGTTAAACCATCTAATTTTAATAACACTGAAGTGAGCGCGCCGTTAGTTGGCTAACTTGCTAAAGCCACTTTTGCTTTGCATTGTTGTTGCTTTTCAGTGTCATATCTCGTTTGACACAGTTTCAAGAGAAGAAAAAATGTTTTTGGTTAAAATAATAGGCTACGTTTTCATAGTTAGCCTAAGTTACCAGGTTCAGTTTGCTAGCATTAATACCAGCAAGCTAAATATTCGTTACGTTTAACTGTGGAGATGGTTATGAAAGCTTATATGGATGACCATAAACTTCACCCATCTATATTAACAGACCGACAGTTTAAGCGGCTGCGATAAAGTTAAATGTTCAGGCTCGTACTTGTGAATAAAATGGCAAACACCTCTGTGTGCCAAGCTAAGCTGTTATATAACAGTCTGTGATCTGGACCAGACTGAGGCTTTTTTTTTTTTTTTTAACAAATTTTTTTTTTTTATTTCTGAGAGTTGGACTGCGCATTCACTTACTGTTTACAGGTCAAACACAATGAATAAGCGGCAATGTTGAAGTTACGTTATTCAGAGAATGTTTACCCTGTGGTGAAGACTATCAAAACAAATAACTGCAACTATATGATGCAATTTGAATGTTATTTGGTGGTTTTTATTAACGTTACCTGTTGATTTGTGTCTTTTAGTGTTACTAAGAATAAAGTACATCGTCCTCTGCCTTGATAGTGTTATTAAATTTGTCAGTAAATCAGTGTACACTGCTCTCTGTGCCATAAAGTGGTGATGGAGGAGTGTAAATCTTGTTATATCATAACCACTGTGGTCGTTCTATCCAATTGTACTCGGGACATTTTGTCATGGGCAAAAGGATTTGGAGAATTAGTAGGCCTACAGATGAAAATGCAAAGCCTTTGTGGCTGTTGAGAACAGCGAAATGCATATTTTTACTTGATAATATGAAGTTTTATATGGAGAGTACATGTGATTTTTATTCAATAATTTAGATCTATTAATAGCAAGATAAAGTGAAAGAATCATATTGTGATTGCTAATTAAAAAAAAAAAAAATGCTTCACATGGGTGGCTTCTAAAGCTGCAGTCCGTAGATCTTTTGGGGTTAAAAATTATCCAAAATATTTTTTTGAGCAAATACAAAACCAACCAGTGTTCAAAACTATCTGCTTGCCATAGCTCGATTTAAAGCAGAAAGCTTGTTATAATGTTTTCAATTCCAGTGATACTGTGGTGGATTTCCGCGGGAGATTCGAGCATGTCTTTGTGTCATTACGTCACATCTGTACACATAAAGAATGAGTCTCGGCTAGTTGGCCATATTGTGTGTGAGGATGCTGGAGGTGGAGATTTGTAGCAACCGGGCCTATGCGAAAACAAGGATACATATACATGACGTTGTTAACATTAACAATTTGAGAACAAAGTATAATTTGCATGGTTTGATGTGATATGATAAGTGATTGTTATATTTAATCAGCGCGATTTAATGCAATGTCAGAACCAGAACAAAAGTGGATGTTACTAACTTGTTCAAATGACATTTTCCGGTGAAAATGATTAAATTGATCATACTTCCAAAAAGTATAATCTGTGAATGCCAGTATCCACACCGGCGCGGCGACTGACAGCCGCACACTTTCCTCAAAACATTGGATTCATCCGTGCTGTGTCGTAAAGTTGATAATTCCGCGAATAACTGCAATAACAGATTTCGAACAGGGATGGTGACAAAGATGAAAAGCTGTGGACTGCAGCTGTAATGTATCATTGAATTTCTTGAAAAAATTCACTCCCTCTGTCATGCCGTTGGTCAGACAAACAGATAATCCCGCCTGGTTGAGTCAAAGTTGTTGTCTCCACTGAATAAAAGAATAATATTCTTTTATTAACATTGGTAAACAGCAGTTTTTGGGAAATCAACAATAAATAGGACTGCTTGATTAAGGAAAATTGATAATTACTGTTATTTTGATCCTGAATTCATGGTGAAACATGATTACCCATCGACTTAGGACACATCATGTATTTATCGATATGTCCTTTATTTTAAATATAATTAATATACCATAATTAAATATAATTCAACTGAAATACAGATAAATAAATAGATAAATAATAAAAAATAAATGATCTATATATATATAATATAAAACATATACACGCACACTCGCATATAATATTTAGGGAGGGACTTAAGTGCACCACTGCAATTGAAAGTGCAATAAAATACAATAATTGTATTTTCTTGGTTATCTTGTTTTCGTATTTCATTGGAAGCCAATCCAGTTATTTTCAGTAATTTAAAATAAAATTTGTCTAGTTGCCCAGTGCTACAAATTATGTCACAAAGACGAAAAGTCTTGCTAAGTAAGAACATTTTCAGTCCATAGAGGTCTGTGTAAACATTAATGGTTGAAAATCAGGTCAAGAAATCTCAGTGGGATTCCCCTGGTGACTAAAATGGAGTTAATAAATAGAGGTGATATCAGCACGCGGCATTTGATCCTGAGGATACATACTTGAGCATGTAAGTGCATACCTTTAGCCTGACTTCATCATACTCAGATTCTAGTTAGAATGTGAGTCTGATACTGCTGTGGCGTGTTTTGGATACACCTACAACCAATCAGAGCAACGGAGTAAATGACGCATGTTCTTCATTCATACTTCCGATCGAGAAATGCCTCCGTGACTGCGGTTCTCTTTCCTCCTTTAAAATGAATGCGCTGTCGATATCTTCTATAGCCTAACAGACGTGATGGCGGAATCTACAAATTGTTTGATAATAAACAAAGTTTGGGAGGAGCAAGTTCAAATAATCAATCCAATCAACTTGTCATTAAACAACACCATGTCTAACGTTACCCTATCAGCATGAGAGGAAGCATATACACTCTGTCAACTCACCTAACACTCCTTGAAAGTTTTTCAGCATCCCTCCACGCTCCACCACACCGACTCCTCACTGTTGGCTTGTTCTTTCACAGCCAGGAATACGGGGCAGCTCCTCGGACAGCACGTCACATACGCATTTATTCTATCGTAAACTCGTAAAATCTCAATTCTACACCGGCAGTCATCTTTGTTGTAAACAAATTCAACCCAAGCGCTCTTTGGTGACGTGGATGATTAAGTAACTGTTGATCATCTGTCCATCATCGTATAAAGCCCGCCCTCGCAATTTGATTGGCTCGAACATTTCTGCATCGGGCACAATGGGCTCTATGCACGGCGGTATTTCCGGTGAATATGTAAGGATGCCAATGCAATACCGAGAATTTATATTGAATTTTATACTCCATGGTTATACTAAAGAAACGTTGGTCACAAAAACAGATAAAACAGACACCCCTCGTTGTGTTTATGCTTCTTTTTAAAATTATATTAAATAAACATAACTATATATAAAATTACATCTAAACGTATGTACGTTTCATTTCAAAGACGGGAGGACAGTACATTTTGAAGACTCTGCCATAATCCCGTTTTCCTCAGTGTTCCTCCGCTTTAATCTCCACAACCGGAAATGGACGAGCATCCTTGCGTCAAATGCGGAACTTATGCGTGCATATAGCCCATTACTCCGTCCTCAACGGATCATGTCCGGACCGGACTTCCCAACGAAACAATGTTGTGGGCGGGGTTCGGTCTGGCATCCAGACTAGCGTACCTCACCATCTGTGTTGATAAGAGCAGATCTGTATCGATTTGTATCTTATCTAATTTTCTTTCTAGATGTTTTCCATTATTGATCACAGATAATGGAAGGTCAGCTGGAATTGCTTAATTGTGCGCCTTGCATCACTGGGATATGTTCTTGTTCATATTCTTCTCTTTTGGCTTCTGGTTTTCTCACTCATCCTTCCATTCCAGCTTGGGAAAGTTCAGGAATTATATCAGCACTGCCCCTTAAAGGCTTTGAGGCTTCTGTTTGAGGTCTTCTAGTGTACTTAAAAACACAACAAATATTGATTCTCAAATTCCAATTTGTCAGTATTAGTATTATTATTTTTCACTGCACACATTTTTTTCCAATCAAATTAGGGTTTATTCTAGCATCATGCATTCTTGTTAACACTTGAACGTTGGTAAGATTCATTAAAAAAAGCAACATTTTGAATAAAAAAAACATCTAGGTCTTTTTTCAAAAGCACTACTGTATGTCCGGATCAAATTTAGAACGATGATCAAAACTTAGATTGAGTAGATCAAATCCATTAACACCCCCAAAGCTTCACAGTTCTGTACCTCTTCATGGGTCGACATTTTATTCAGCAACGATAGGCAGTTTGGATGCTGTTTAAAATTTGATAATGTATAACATGTGTGTAAGCAATGCTTTTATCACTTGTTTCTGCTGCTTCTTTTTTGATCTTGAGATTTTGTATTCTTTCAGAAGATGCATAATATTGCCTTCTACTGTGTAACAGTGAAAACAAGGATTGCCGGAAAATCCCATCAATGGTGTTGCGGCATACTGTAGATGACGAAAAATTATGTCAAAATAGTTAGTGTTAGTTATAGTTATTGAAAGTGAACTACAGTCTTTTTTGGGATCTTTTAACTTTCCATTTACACTCTTGTTGTATTTTTTTAGTACAACAACAATTTTTTAAACAAATATTAGCCACAACATTTGAAATTAAACAATGGCAAAATAATGTGAACAATGCCAAAAGTGCAGATGTTTTCATTCAAGTCAGTGAACCTCAATT